ACACAACACCCCTTTGAGGACTGATGGGGGCCAGCACTTCTGCACACACCCACCCCTCACCTGGTGGGCTTCTTAAAGCAGATTGCTGGCCCCACCCCAGTTTCTAAATCGAGGAGGGTGGGACCCGGGAGTTTTCGTTTCTAACTAGTTTCTAGATAATGTTTCTGAGCCACCCGTTTAGAGGATGTCTAAGGTCACGGAGGATGGAACTTACTCCGGCTATGAAGGGGATCTGTCTGTGAGAATTTGTTGGTGGGGGGATTTGGCCCCGTGATCAGGCTTGGGTCAACGCGGGCCAAAATTAGAAATCTAAAAGGCAGGGGTCTCCCTTGCTTGTCCCCACCCACCAGGGGCTTCATTTCCAGAGCAGCTGCCTGTGCTGGTGTTTGATGAATAGACCTGTCCGTGGGCCTCTCAGAATGCCAGACAGAACACAGGTATTTGTTTCCTCTGCTCCCACCAGACTGTCTCCCCTTCCTCCCTTGGCCCCCTCCTCTCTGGGCCCTGCCTCCCCATGGAGCTCAGGGCCTTTTCTGAGGAAGGAGTGGAACTTCTCCCACCCCACCCAGCACCAGCCATGTTCATATGGGACCAGGGGCCGGGGGAGGGGGCAGGCACCGGCATCCTCTCAGTGTGGGGAACAGGGCAAGAGAACCCAGGAGGAGCCCTGCCCAGCCCCTGCCTCAGCAGGAACCCATCACCTGCAGTCCTAAGCCCCTGGAGATGGACTCTCCAAAGCCCTGGGCTGAGGACAGCTCTCCACTGGCCTGGGGCGAGGCCCAACCCATGCCACAGCCCTCCCTGAGATCTGTCCCAGTGGGGTGGAGCCAGCAGGAACTCACTCCAAGTCTCTATACTTGTCCTCACCCTGCCAGCATCTCTGGGGCGTGGCACTGACCCACACCCCCCATGCTACCCTCTCCAGCCCCCTCCCTGATCTTGTTGGCCTTGGGAGTCAGAGGTGTGTGTGAACCAGGTCTGACCCTGTCCCCCAGCTCCTCCTGTCCTCAGACACAGTCTCCCCTGCAGAGGGAACATTCCTGCACCCACCAGACCTGCCTGGCCGGCTGGCCCCGCCTCCCCAAGCATCTCCCACAGAAACCAGTGCCTGCTCGCTGGACTGTCACCACAGTGACCACTGATGCCTCACTGCGTGCCTCCCGCTGCCTCAAACCCAGGTCACACACAGACAGGCCCTTTAGAGGAAAATGGGCAGCACAGCACAGTGTCCTGGGACCCCTCGCTTACCGACAACTCACCAACTCGACATCAGACACAGCAGAAAGCAGATGCAGGGTGCATCATATTTTGTTTTTCTTATACAAAATGTTTAAGACTTCCCCTAGAACTCATATCTCTAGAGCAGACCCTCATGGAAGGGGCTCCCACCTCACTCTAACTTGCCAGGGTGCTCCTGGTCCCTGCAGGCCATGTTTCTAGAACCTTTGGGTCTAGGCATTGCCTCTCCCAGCTACTTCTGCCTGGGAAGTCCTTGCTGCGGCCAGGCCAGCCCCTCCGCATCTCCTGCTCCCAGGCCGTCCCTGTTCTGCTTTAGACATCCAGCCCAGGGCCACTCAGGGGCCGCTTCCTCGCCCCTGGCAGGAAGGACCTCTCCCCTGCTTGGGTCTCCAGGGGCCCCGTGTCCTTTGACCTCCAGCAGCCCTGGGAGTGGTCCCACTGCTCCGTGAGAAGACTGAGGCTCAGGTGGCAGAGGGAGAGCAGGGACAGGAACCCACCCTCCTGGTGTTGTTTGTATCTTGTTGCTCCTGTCTACGGCACAGACGGGCAGCCACTGAAGGAGCAGGTGGGATTCATCTTACAGATGGCTGGCTGGAGATTTTTCTTTTAACACCTTTGTGGGGGGCATCACTGACAAACAAGAAACTTCTCATAGTTAAAATGCACAATTTGGTAAGTTTTGACACAGACAAGTCACTTACGAAGCTACCAGCCCATCCAGACAATGAACCCATCCTCTTTAGAATCCCTTGGTCCTACCGACAGCCCGTCCCAGGCAGGCACAGAACTGTTCACTGTCACTGTTGATTAGTTCCATTTTTCTAGAGTGTAGTGCACAAATGGAATGGAGAGATACAGCAGGAACCCATATATATATATATATATATTTTTTTTTTTGAGAGGTCTGGCTTCTCCCATTCACCATGACCACTAGGAGATCCATGCCCCCCACCTCCTGCTGCCTGTATTATCCATGATTCCTTCCTTTTTATTGCTAAGCTATATTCCAGAGCAGGCCCTTCCACGGGTTGGTCATTCCTAGGCCCACTGGTGGCTGGCATTGGCTGTCACAGGAGGCTGCGATAGCACCAGGCGTGGACAGAAGACTTTGTTTCCCTGGTATATAAATGCCAATGAGTGCCCGATCACAGAATGGCACCTGGTCACTGTTTTATGAAGCTGCCAAACTGTGCTCCCAGGAGCTGCGAGGCTTGGTATTCCCACCAGCGTCTGTGAGAGCTCCGGTTCCCGCACACCCCGGCCTGCACTTCACATGGTTAATCTTTTTAATCTCAGCTCTTCTAACTGGTGTGTAGTGATAGCACGTGGTGGCTTTCACTCACAGCACAAATGGCAAAACGCCTTGTTGATTCTGCACTTGTAGTCCAGGACGCCCTTGCTAGGCGGTGACTCTGTACCAAGCACTGCCCAGGCCTCTCTCCCTGTAGAGCTCCCCAGTGTGCCAAGCACCGGGCCAGCTGGCAGAGGCTGAGGGCGTGAGGAGCTGAGTGACCGGGAGACACTCAGCCAAGAGCGACCTGCTCCAGTTCCAAGGGTGCTGCCAGCCAGCTCCTTGAACGGGTGACTCCTGGGACAAAACCAGGCACCTAGAACCAACAGCCAGGGGGATGTAAAAGCAGAAAAATAGACTCACCAAATGTGCACAGGCTCTCTCACCTCCCACAGAGCACTTCCGTGGGGCCTCTATTCCACCACCACCCTGGGGCCCCTTTGTATCCTCCTGAAGGTCCCAAACTGGACCTGGATTCCTGCACAGCATGTGCGTCAGCCCTGGAACCTCCTAGCATCAGCCCTGAAGATCAACGACCTTTGATTTATAGGAATCGACCACAGTCCAGCTGCTCTGAACTCAGCTTGCTCTCGCTTCAGAATAAACAGCACCTGAGCCCTTGCCTATTTTATTTCCAATACTGGGGACAGATACTGACATACAGCTGGTGCATACAAATACTGTTAATGGAGAGATAAATCTGGAAAATGCAAATAAGAGCACCTATCCCTGTTGGTACTTATTATGTATTCAAAAGACATAAAGCAGGGTTTTTTCCCCCCCCCTTTTTTTAATTAAAGAAGAGAGCTGCTCAGCATAGTGGCACACTCCTATAATTCCAGTTGTTTTGGGAGGCTGAGACAGGAGTTCAAAGCCAGCCTTAACACCTTAGCAAGATCCTAAGCAACCCACTGAGACCCTGTCTCAAAATAAAATATTAAAAAGGACTGCGGATGTGGCTCAGTAGAAAAGCACCTCTGGGTTCAATCCCCAGTGACGACCCTCCACCCCGCCCCACATAAGAGGAAAAAGAAAAGTGAAATAAAGAAAAAAGCATGGAACCAGGATGTGCCTCCCTCTGCCAGCATCAGTTCTTGAAATATACTCATGTTGCTGGTTCAGTGAAACCTGAGAAAGGCAAGCTCTAAGGGCAAGAGTGGACATCAGCATGGGGTGGAGCCGGCCGAGAAGTGGGTTTAGGGGACATGGGTTCCAGTGAGGGCTCTGCCACCCACCAGCTCCATGACTACAGTCTCCCTATTGCTAAAACAGGAGCAGTTGTCGCCACCTGACTTCCATGCCTCTGAGATTGGGTGAGCTTTAGTGCAGAGGGTGTGGTGAAAGGAAGGGCCACATCGGTTTCACTTCCAGACTTATTTGAACAGAATCATTGTAAATAAGGGAAATCCAGGCTTCTGAGCAGCCCTGATCACTCCAAGTGTAAAGGGCTTTAATTATCTTCTGCTCAAACAATCAAGAGGCTAATTGTACCATGTTACCATGATACAACGTGTCTTGGCCATGGGCTATAAGAACCAATTGTGGATTGGACACAACATGTTGGAGTGAATGCTGCATTTTTTTTCAAGCTACAATTTCAACCTGTAAGAGCTGTGCCATGCCATTTAATAAAGCACTTTATCAAGCTTTAGAAACAAATATTCCAACAAGCATAAATACATACCCATGGTATAAATAAGGGAACAAAACACAAAGATGTTAAATAACCTTCTCAGGAGCATGTAGAGCCAGGATTGGAACTCAAGAATTCTAGCTCCAGAGTTTACTCCCTAACCAGGATACTGTACTTGTAGACCCATGCTCAGCACCTATTTGGTGTGTTGTACTGGTTAGAGCCCAAAGTGTGAGTGAGGTAATAGTGGCTGCTGCTGGGGGG